CTGTGTGGAATTATGTCTGTCATCTCTGCCAGTGATGCACAGGGGTCTCTTTTGCTGTTCAGCTTCTTCTGGTAACTCGTTGAGTCCTTCTCTCTGGAAGGTGCCTGTTGATCTTTGTAGCCTTCTGATGTCCAGGGTTCCCTCTATGCTTGGATGCAGCCATGGGAGATAGGGTGCATTAGAAGCATTGCAGCTAGGCCTGTGGTTGAGCCAGTCAGTGGTTTTGTTTATTTTCTGAGCATTATGAAACTTGCAAGGCAGTGCCTTACTGGCTCACACGTTTTCCAACCACTGCTATTCAGCAACACCTTGAGTCCTAATTCTGCATGTCCCCCAGTTGTGCAGGCTGTCCATCTTCCCTCAAGGCTTCCAGGGCTCTTTGTGCCCACTAAAACCCATCTCTCTCTGAGCATTCTTTGCCTACTGCTTGGGGGAGTGTAAATGGGCCTATTTTTGATTCAGTCTAACTGTCCCCCCCCTTTTATCTCAGGGGCTTTATGAACTTGCTGGCCCTGCCTTAGTGACTAATGTGGGGGAACAAGCCTTCAGGCCTATGCTGTGGGGGTGGGGTAAAGGGTTGCAAACCTTACAGTTGCCAAGTCATCAGTTCAACAGATTTTCCTCCCCACCTCCCGGGCTCTATGTTCCCACTTGCGCAGTCTTTTCCCATAGCTTGGGTTCCACTCACCAAGCCGAATGAGCAGGAAGCCTCCATATGTGGCACCAGAGCCTGGGTGCTCCCCGATAGGAGTTGCAGGGTTTTGCTTGTCCTGTCTGTGGCGCTTTCTGATAGGAGTTCCCTTATGGGAACTGCCCAATTGCTGATTCTCCCTCAGTTATTTTCCTTCTAGTGAGTCCAGGATGTTCTCATTTGGATTGAAACTCAGTATGTAAATCTATAGTATGTTTTCAGTCCTAAATTCCTATGCAAGCCTGGACAGTGATCTCGGTGTCTTTACTCTGCTGCCATCTTGCTGTCTCTCCTGGAAGGGATTTTTAATGAGCTCCTTCATAATTGGGCTTCAGTGAGCAGACCCTGGCATTGTAGGAATGCAACCTTGGGCTGTCTTTTTTTGTTTGTTTGTTTTGTTTTAGTTTATTTTTGGAGTGATGTATAGCAGGAGAAAGAATGCTGGTTAGTAGCATCAGGACATGAAATGTAAGTACACTTGACTGTCACAGGTTCAGCAAAGCAACCTTTCTAAAGTTCTTCTGTGCTAAGTCTTACCAAGGAAGTGGGACTAAACAACTGAAAAATCATGTAAATCATATAGATATGTATGTATAGTCCTACCCCAAAGAATGGGGTAAATGCTTTGACCTTTGGTAAATGTTTTGAGCATGGGGATTACAACTGAGACGGAAAAAGGCACAAAGTGATGTAAAAATAAACTATTATATTATTTCTAAAAAGTTCTAGAATCATCTACACAGAGATATTAAGTGAAATCATGCTACTTGAGAGTATTTTCAATTGAACATGAAAGGATCTGAGTAAGTGAATGGGGTGGGAGGGCAGAAGAAATAAAGGATGGGCACAGTAAAAGGAAAGAGAGCAAGATGGATTTGAAGTACAGAAATCAGTGGATGGGGGAGGTGAACAAGTACGAGAAAGGGAGTGTTTGGTCAAGCATGAGTTTCCAGAAGATAGAAGGCGTGGATGCCAAGAAGTCAGGTGTGCAGAGGAGCAGAGTGGGGAGGTGTGGAAGCTGTATAATTGTGACAAGGCAAAGACAATGGGTGTGAACATATTTTAAATATGAAGAAAGCTGAAGAAGCTCTTGTTTTGATTTTCAGAGCAAGGAAGGCTCAGCATTTATTCTGAATTATAGACAAAGCATGAGCTGGGAACCAACTCTGTAAATAATATTTTACTTGCATTTGTAGGTATTTATAACTTACCTCCAATATGCATTGGATATATAGTTGGTGGTTTGATTATGAAGAAGTTCAAGATTACTGTCAAACAAGCTGCTCACATAGGATGCTGGTTTTCTTTAATTGAATATCTTCTGTATTTTTTAAGTTTTCTCATGGTTTGTGAAAATTCCTCAGTTGCTGGCATAACCACATCTTATGAAGGGTATGTTGCTTTCTATGGCCCTTATACTCTTTCATCAATTAAAACACATGTTTTCTCCAGTGATTATCTAAGATTAGTTCATTTGCTAGTAGCAGTTAGTGGCAGTAATTTATGGTCTTTATCGTTTCTCCATCTATCAGTCATAATCTAATACATCCAGATGCTAGGCTTATGAAAATGGTTAGGAATATATCACAGGGCTAGTAAGTTTATGATAATGGATATATATGTATGTATGTATGTATGTGTATGTGTGGTTGATTTTGTGATACTTGGAGATATTAAAGTGAACATCAAAAAAACTTTTAGGCTTTTTTATTCCCATAATGAGTTAAACTTTGGGGTTGAAAATTCACCTTTATATGTTTCCACAATGGGCTCAAATGTAGCATGACTGAATTCTAATACATGATATATAAATTAATGCATTTTATTTGTATAGTTATATCTAAATCATTGAATAGTTATAGATATGTATTTTGAGGGTTATTTGGGTTTATAAGAAGGTTTTGTATACTGATATGAATTTTAAAATTCATCCAAACATATTTGTATAATCAGTTAAAATGAAATGAGGACATTTTAAAATGCTCCCTTTATAACTATCAAAGAATATTAGACGAAAGTAATTTTAGATATAAAAAACCATAAAGTAATTTTACATACATTTATCGGAGTTAAGTCTTATAAACTCCATTAAGAATAGGTCTTCATTTTTGAGTTCTAATAATATCTGGGAAAGTTTTTGTATACAATTATGCTTGTTTAACGGTATTAATGCTTATTGACTATTTGCTTATCTGAGATAAATCATTGAAAAAGTAGATACTGAAGCATATATCTTTTATGCCTGAGCTACTTTGTCCAAGCCACAGTAATGGTGGGAAGATTTATGTTTCTATTTTGGATAAGGGAGGGAATATCACTAGAAGCTGAGGTGAAAAGAAGAAAAGGATAATGCTGTAATATTCCTTTAATATTTGTGACATTACTTTAAATTATTTCAGAATGCAACAAGATTTATATTCTATCCTTGATGACTGCAACATGAACTGCAACTGTCCCACTAAAATATGGGACCCTGTGTGTGGAGACAATGGGTTGTCATATATGTCAGCCTGTCTTGCTGGTTGTGCAACATCAGTTGGAACAGGAATAAACATGGTAACACATCTTACTGGTCTTTTTGCAGAACTTTTGTTTGATGCATCTCAATGGCACTCTCCAACTATGAACTGGGTCCACATTTGATAAAAGTCAAGTTATTTTGGAAAACCTGATTAGTGTTTTGTAAGACAAAAATAAGTTGCCTTCAATATGCCCATTTTAATTTTCCTTTAATGTTCTAGATGTTATTTAAATCTTTCACAGTTTCAGAGCATTGATCTTTAATTTCTTAAGTTACTTTTTTAAGATTTTTTTTTGTTTATGCACACAGAACTGGGGTACAGGCCAGAGGTGCAGGGGTGGTGAGAGGATTCACCAGAGACAGAGTGGGGAGCAGAACAGCTGACTATGAAATACAATGCTGAGGGGAGAAGCGGGCAAGTCAGGAGAGGTCTGCCATGCCATGTGGGTCACTTCTGGGGCCAGGGATCAAACTCATGCTGAAGTGGCTTATGCTTCTTAGTGCTGTGCTTTACTGCACTGTGCCTCCAGTGAGGACCCCTATTTCATTAAGTTTTTATCAGATAATTTGTTTGAAATATACTGGGACACATTTTGATCACTTAGATCAACTTGGAAGTTTTGATCTTTATGAGCCAACTATTTCTATGTGCACATATGCATGTGTGATCTGTGTTTTTGCATTCTCAGTACTTTGTAAGTAGATGGAATTAGGCATGTTGTCTTGCCTGAAAAATGTAATGCTACTTATGATGCATGAGTGATCACAGCAAAATATAAATTTTGGTTCCTTTTAAAACCTGAAAACATGATGACTCTGAAAGGGTTGCTCTTAACCTGTTTTTGGAGTAACATACATTTTAAGACAAAGCTTTGCCTATTTGTAAGAATCTAAATATTTTAACTGAGCATTCTGAAACAAATTTTGTTTGCCATACATAATGCTGTGACAACAGCAGTATGATTTTTTTTAAGTATTACTTTCAGATAGCTGACCTACTGCAAATTTATTTCATATATTTAGATATTCCATTTTTATAAACCTACTCTTCTATGTTTTGATTTCATGTCACAACCCTACGAGACACCATACAGATTTGAGACTAGAGGGAAAAGTATCCAACTTGATCCAATTCATTATATAGAAAATATTTGAGATTCTGTTAAAGATTTTTCTTCCTTATAGGATAACATACTGTCTCCTGGCAGGTGTTTCAAAATTGTAGCTGTATCCGAACATCAAGTAATTCATCAGCAGTCCTTGGGCTGTGTAGCAAAGGACATGGCTGTTCCATGATGCTCCAGTATTTTTTAATCTTGTCTGCAATCAGCAGCTTCATTTATTCTTTATCTGCCATACCGGGATACATGGTTCTCCTGAGGTACAAGAACTCTTTTCTTTATTAGATACCTTTTTTAATCACTTGTGAAGACAGCTTTTTCTAAGAAAGTGACTTGGAGTCATGACATTTAAGAAGTCAGGGTTGAAATGTGTCATTTATTAAGGTTTTTCCATGAAGCACTGTTGAATTTTACAAAGTTTAAAGTTACTATATAAATGTTGGTATTTTCCTCCCTCTCTCTCCTTTCTTATGTCTTTTTGTTTAAGACAAAAAAAGATAACATGTATGTCTAAGGGTAAACCATATGAAATAGGTTAAGTGTGATTGCCTGGCACTCATTTCCTATGGTTTAACTTATGGGAGAACAGTGTCCTAAGAAGCCCGTTCGCCAACTTATCTACAGGGCATTAGGCAAGTCACTGATGTTTCTGAGCTTCATTTTTCTTTAATATAAGATAGGCATAATAAGAAGTGTTCTTCTCCCTAACAAGGCTGTTGTGAGACATGAGGCATCTAAGAAAGGCTTTCTAAGCCTAAGACATTGCAGAACTGGGCTTCCAACTTAAACGTAATGAATACATGCTCTTTCAGTTCGGGCTTCTTCATGCCTATTAAAAAGAATCTTGCACACAGTTCACAACTTTCCTTGGAAAAAAAAAAGCAGCATAGTTAAACTAATCATGCCTTAGTTGAGAGCAAATTATCAAAAGCTGGATAACATTTTCCTAGCTTGATTTTCCTTTTTAATTTTTTCATTCCAGTCCCCACTTACTCTACACACCCACATTAATAAGACAGCATGTCCTTAAATATGTATTTGCCTTTGGAAAGTATCAAGACTGTGTGTGTGTTTATGTTCACATAGCAGGTGCTGTGAAGGTCTTGTATTGCTTGCTAAGGCACATGCACACATAAATTCACTAAGAACTCACACCAGCACTGCCTGGCAAATACCATTACCTACAGCTCCCATAACACTTAGAGCATCTAACTCTGAATGTGACTCTGCTAGTGAGTGAGAAGTGGAGATTTACTGATGTTTTATTATGTTAGTTCTAGATACAGTGAGTTTCAACATCTCTTCAAACTTTTTTCAAGTCATTTGGGTTTCCATTTCAAGATGCATATTCATTTTCCTTTGCGTTTTCTTTATTTTGATAATTATTCTTTAAATCATAGATACTAATGTAACATTGCTTACATTATACAATTATCTTTTCCTAGTATTTCACAGTACTTTTGATGAAATTCTAAATTTTGTTTTATTGAAGTTTTCTTATCTTAGTGCCCGAGTTTTGAGGAGACATTTAAAAAAAAAAGTTTTCCACAAAACAAATGACAAAAACAAACTTTTAGACTGAAAACAAAATAGTGTTTAAAAGAAGCAGGGGAGGCTAGGTAATTCACATAAAGGGGATTCATTATCTGATGGTGGATGGACACTAGACTCGTGGCCCTTATCATAAATAAGCATATATAGATTTGATTCACAAGGCTGGACACTTGAAATTTATATAATACTAAACATCAATTGAGTTTAACTTAAAAAAGGTGTTGTCAGAGCATAATGGGGGTATGAAGAGTGTCCGGGACTATGGTGGTGTCACGGGGTGAACTGGTGGTAGGAAGTCCATGGGATTACAACCAATATGAAAAAATGCACAAAATGAAGGATGTTAAAAAATAAAAAAAGTGGAAATAAAAAGAAATCTGAAAAAAAGGTGCTGTACCATATTTTCAATTTATAAAAATGATCCCCTAAATTTTATCCTACTAGATTTACAGCTTTACCCTTTACATTATAGTTCTTTAAACCACAGCAACTCTATCTTTATGTGGGAGGGAGCTAGTATTCTCTCTCTTTTTTTTTCATATAATAAACTCATTTTCCCATCATCAAGACCTAAAGAAAAGGTTTTTTCTCCACTGATTTGTGGTACTATCTTTCGAGTTATTATAAATTTTCATTCTATTCTGTTCTAAAGTTTTGACTGTTAGCATACCAGTACAATATTTAACTTATCATGTTGACATGACATGTTACATATAACCTATAGTATCTTTCTTACCCATACACCACTGCTATCTTTACTTTTCTTTTTTTCTTCCCTGTTCGTAAATGAATTTTGAATGAGTCTGTGTGGATTCCATAGAATGGAGAAAATCTAATCAAGATCAAATATTTGTGAACACAGAGTATCTTTTCATTTAAAAAAAAATTTTCCTTTGTCAATACTGTAAACACATACATGGTGCAATTGACAAGTATGAACACATATCCACATAAATGTTTATATATACTCATGCATACATATTAGAATATACATATTTTGTGATGCATCTCCATATTTTTGTGATGCAAATGGTGCTATTTTATGTAATGTTTTCTAATTGGTTAGAGTTTGTTTTAGAGAAATGCTGTGGTTATTTTTAAGTTTAATTTTTTAATCCAGCAGACTTTCCTATTTGTTCTAAACATTTATTTATCTAAATATTTACATATTTTTATATTTACTATGTAGAGATATATTAAATATGGAAAGCTTTTTCTCTTCACTTTCAGGTCTTACATATATGAGACTTAAAATTTTCTTACAGTATCAACTTGGACATCAAAAATGTATTAAACTGTAGCAATGATGTGCATATTCTTCTTCTTTTCTAATTTAATGGAAACCACATGAAAATTTTCCATTAAGTATGATACTTGCTGTATATCTTATTCTATTTTTATCTATAGTTTTGAATTTATAATTGTAAATAGTTATTAAACCTTATCAGTATATTTTTCTGCATCTATGAAAACATTTATAGTTTTTTTACTTAGTACTTTCAGTATAGTGAAGTAAGGTAATAGATATTTTTAGGCTGAACTGTGTTTGCATATTTGAGCAAAATTACACTTAGTGGATAATCAGGTCTTGGAAAACCAAGAATATTTTCTAATGCTCAGGTTGTAATTAAGATACACAGTTTTAAGAACTACATAATACTTAAATCTCTATTTTTATTTTATTTGTGAATTTACTTATATTTTAGGAGTATCAAGCCTGAAGAGAAGTCTCTTGGTGTGGGATTACATGCCTTTTCCACAAGAGTCTTTGGTAAAAACAGTTATTTTCCCTTAACATTCTTTTAAACTGTTATTAAATAATAAGTAAATGAAAACACTGTTCCAGAGCAACATTTTAACAAATAACCCTCCTGCTAGTAAGTCAGACTGGTCATTAATGAGAATGAAGTACAGGAGGTAGAGAAATACTGCTTACTTGAAATGGACTCATCTTATCATAATTGTATTTTTTTATCAATTAGAAGAGTGAAAAAGCAAATGAATGAGAAAATCACTTAAAATTTAATGTAAACTAACCCAAAATATTGCAGAAAGTATATAATAAATATAAAAAAATATTTACAGAAGGCAATATATTTCAATTTTTACCTTTTTGATGGGCTCTTCTTCTTCCTTTTAATTCTAGCTGGAATTCCTGCACCTATATATTTTGGAGCTTTAGTTGACTCCACATGTTTACATTGGGGAACCCTGAAATGTGGTGAATTGGGAGCATGCAGGATATATGATTCTACCAATTTCAGGTAAAGATAATTTTTTTTAAAAGAACTGCTTTCTAAGTATTTGCTGTTCATAATATGGTTCCATTTATTTAATGTTTTCTGTTAAGTTTCTAGACTACTTTTTGAAAATAGATACTGTACTGTATCTCCAAGCCTTAATTACATACTAGAAATTTCCTTCCTTAATTTTTTCAAAGTACTCAACAAATACAAGTATGAATAACTTGCTTAGCCACCTTTCATAATTTTTTTGGTGCAGTTGGCTACAATCCGTTCACTACTGTAGATGATGGCTGTGTATGAGCTGCCCATCTATTTTATCTACATCATCACCATCTTATTACCCTGACTCTTTTCCTCCTTTCACCAGGTATCTCAGCTCTTTAAAATGGTATTTGTTCTCCCTCATTAAATTCTATTAACACAACATTGTTTTTTAAATATTATTTTTTTGTTAATATATATGTGAGTTTGAGAACTAATATACTATTAACCTAAAAAAAATTTCCCTTTTTCCCTTTTTTTAGTGTCCTTTTTCATTGGGGGAACTGAATTTTGTTTAAATTTTTATTAAGTTCTCCTTAAGGAGCAGTAAGAAAACACCTCATTCATTAAAAAAAAATCTAGCATTGTTTAGAACATTCAAAGGTATTACTTGATCAGTAAAAGTCAAGAACTATGAAAAGAGAAGACAGCATGAGATTGATGTAGCCATCAGTATTCCCCATGGGTAACATAAGGCAAACTCAGGTACTCACTGTGCATGCACTAGGTTTATTTCACAGCTGAAGGACTCCAAAAATCACTAGTGTATATTCACCTCATCCTGCCACTTGAAATCCTGTTGATAGATAGCACCTTAAGTTAAATGATATTTGTGACAAAATAATCCTATTTTGTACTACCCTCTGGCAGTCAGATGAATGAGGGTAGCTGATGAAGTATAGTCATGAGGAAATTTTATAGATACTAATAGAGTGTAGAAACAAGAGTCAGCTATTGCTGGTAGGCAAATCTTGCGTACCTTGAATTTCTACATACTTTATTAGCACAAGCTTTTTTTCTGGAATATCTTTTCAAGGATGTTTAAATAGCACATGACCTTGAAAGATATACGCTGTGTTTACCTCTGGGATAGAATGTATAGTGCAGAATGGACAAAGGCTGGTAGATGTACTGAACCTCATTTGCAAGACTGGGATCTCCTAAACTCGGGATTTCTATCTGTGACTTAAACCCACTGAGTCAAACATCCACATGAATCTCCTTCAGTGACACCTCTATGAGACTTGGAGTAAAGGAAAGCCAATGACAATAAAAAATGAGAAAATAAACAATACAAAATAAATTGAAAAATCAAATGGTGCTGGGTAAACTACACACACACACAGCGCACACACACACAAACTCATGCTGGATTAAAGACTTTAATGTAAGACAGGAAATCATAATGTATATCTAAGAAAGGTAAAGCACTCCATAGCATTGTCTTCAATGATGTGTTCGGGGACTTAACACTAATAAGAAGGAAAATAAAACCAAAATAAACAAAAACATTATATAAAATATAAACACCTTTTGCACAGTGAAACATACTACTGCTAAAATGAAAAGACATCCTAGTGAATGGACAAAATATTTCACATCATGCATCCAAAAAGGGGCTGATATCCAAAAAAAAGACTTATTACCTCAACAAAAAGAAAACAAAGATTTTATTTAAAAAAAGGCAGGAGAACGAAATAGACCTTTCTCCAGAATACATGCAGATGCTCATAGGAACATGAAAAACTGTTCAATAAACCTTGTTTGCTATCAGGAAAATGCAAATCAAAACCATAATTAGACATCTCCTCACACGTGTAAGAATGACCTGTATCAAAAAGGAAAAAAACCCAAGTGTTGATGAGGATATGGAGAAAAAAGAGCCTCTTTACACTGTTGATGGGAATGGAGACTGGTGTAACCTCTAAAGAAACAGTATGGAGGTTCTCAAAATACAAAAAAATGATCTGTCACATGATCCAGCAATTCCACTCCTTCACATCTATTGGAAGAATACAAAAACACTAATTTTGAAGGGATATATGCACTCCTTTGTTCACTGGAGTACCAAGTTGTGGACTCAACCTAAGTGTGAAAGCCACATGAGTGAATTAAGAAGATGTGGTATATAAATAATAGAATACCACTCAGCTATAAAAAGGTTCTTATCATTTTTAAAAAAGATTTGTTTATGCATACAGAACTGGGGTACAGGCCAGAGGTGTAGGGGCGATGAGAGGATCCACCAGAGACAGAGTGGGGAGCAGAACAGGCCAATCACAAAATACACTGCTGAGAGGAGCAGTGAGTGAGACAGAAGTCTGCTGCGTCATGTGGGTCACCTCTCTGGATGGGGATCAAACTCATGCTGAAGAGGCTATGGCTACTTTATAGTGCTACACTTTAACCTGTTGCACCACCAGGAAGGGCCTGATTCTTGCCATTTGTGACAGGATGATGGAACTGGAGGGGATGATGCTAAGTGAAGTAAGTCGGAAGAAGACAGACAAAAGCTAGATGATTTCACTCATATGTGGAATAGAGAGAATTGAAAGAAAGGAATGATAAAACTAAGCAAAAAAAAACCCCTAGAAATAAAGCTACAAGAAGAGATGGCAACAAAGCAGAGAGGAGAGTCCATGGTCTATAGTGGATGGGTGATTTGGTATCAGGTGAGGGCAATGACATACATCTGAGGAAGTGTGAATCTATTCTAAATCATATAGTGTTGTAAACCAGTAGTAGCTCATTTTTTTTTTTTTTAAGATTTATTTATTTATACAAACTGAACTGGAGTACAGGCCAGAGGCTCAGGGGTGGTGAAAGGCTTCACGGGAGACAGAGTGGGGAGCAGAACAGGCAATCTACAAAGTACACTGCTGAGGGGAGCAGCGGGAAGGTCAGGAGAGGTCTGCCACGCCATGTGGTCACCTCCAGGGCGGGCAGGAATCGAACTCATGTGGAAGTGGCTTTAGCTTCTCAGTGCAGTGCTTTAACCGACTGCACCACAAGGGAGGGCTAGTAGCTCAATTTTTAAAAAAAATCCAATGTGTGGATACCATGTAACCTGTGCTTTCTGTCTATAATTCAGTGAAATTAGAAATATATGATAAAATTTGCAAGAAGCCATATTTGGAGTTATTCAAGGGTTAAAGAAAAATTATAATAAAAATAATTAACTAAAACTCTGTATTAATGAAAGCACTCAGTAGGGAAGCATGTGGGTTCAGGCCAAACCAGTACTCAAAGGGATAGGTAGAGCTTTAAAGGTATCTATTTTTATCATAAAAGTTGGTGAGCCCAGGATTTAGAAAAAGGACAATGAGGTAATTTTAAATAAAGTTGAACAACCTAATGATATTATGTAACATATTGATGCACATGTCTAGATTTCAAGACTATATAAATACTATCCTTAACATCCAGTTTCATGAGATAGAAGTTGAACAGAAACATAAAGAAATGAATGCAAAGGTTGTAAACCTAAGAATTAGAGTTTTGGGGAGATCAGCCTCCAAAGGGAAAATAAAGTACTTCTAAGAAGCCATGAGACCAGATACCTGTTCAGTGCTTTTATACCAGTGATGGGATACAATAGCTTTAGACTGGATTAAGCAAAGCACCTCAAAATTTCACCACTATCCATAACAGATTTGACTTTATTTGGAAATAAGTTCTTTATTAGTGGAATTAAATTAAGATCAGGTTATACTGGATTAGTGTGTCCCCTCAAGAAGCCATGTGACAGAGGAAGAGACTGCTAGAATCATCCACAATCCATGGAACTCTGTGAGTTGTAGGGATTCCCAGTAGATGGGAAGAGAAAAGCAGGGAGGATTCTTTCTTGGGGCCTGCAGAAGAAGCAGGGACTTGTCAACATCTTAACTTCAGACTTCTAGCCTTGGGAACTGTGAGAGACTAATTATGTTTTACTGTGTTACAGTTTCCTAGGAAATGAATAAAAACCTCATCGTGAAAGGACATTAAAACAAAACAAAACACATTATTTACATGTTACTAAGAAGGGGTAACTAGACTGAACTATCTGTTCCCTTCTTCTGTGATTATTCCTATTATCACTATGAAAAATCACCCTTCTCAGAACTAGGTCTGCCCTAAGGAACCATAGATTGGGAAAAGCAAATGCAAAATGAACAGACATGAAGATATAAAGACTGACAGAGCAAGAGAAGCAAACCACTACTCACAAAACACCAAAAAGAGCTTCCAAATGAAAATTAAAAAAACATATGAACAAATTTGATGGTTAAAATGATAAATTCATCAACTTTCAGTTGAAACATGACTTTGTTCCAGATTAAATTTAATGTAAGAGTCTCAATACTATCAATACAAAAGGAAAATTCTTAAAAAAAAGGAAAGAAAATTCTTGTTTTACAGCTATATGCCAAAAAACATTATTATGATATTTACATATTCATAATTGAAACTTGGAAGAAAATCAGAAGAGAGGAATTTCCTTCCCCTGATTAAGATCACCTAGAAATAAAACATGAGTAAATATTATTAGTTAATGGTTATTTTTTGGAAATATTCTTGTTGAATCCTATAATCATAGTCAGTATTAAGGAATATCGGCATAAAAAGGTTAAATGAAAACAGTAACAGGAGATTAGAGAAAAGAAAGCAAATTTGGTTTTCTGAACAAAAAAATTCCCAAAAAACATTTTAATAAACATTAGAATAAATTACACAAAACATTTTAATAAACAGAATAAATTAAACAAATTTGCTAATATAAAACTGACAGACAAAAACCTGAGCTGCTCTCATCCTTCAGGGAATAACATATCAACAATGAAAGATATGTGAAGCTAGTTTTCTCTTACCATGTAAGATTTATTATGTATTAATATTTTATTTTTGATAGACATATCTACCTTGGACTGCCAGCAGGGCTAAGAGCATCAAGCTATATTCCAGCCTTTTTGGTCCTTTTTTTATTGAGGAAGTATCAGCTGCCTGGTGAAAATGCCTCTTCGGGAACTGTGCTGACGGAGACAAAGGTTACAGGGAAGGAAAATGAGTGCAAAGATACACACCAAAATGCCAAAGATTTGAATGATGGCGAGTTGAAAACTAAACTGTAATGTCCTGTTATGCCATGCTTTCCAGAAGTGGAGAATACACTGCAACTTAATTGTTTCTAAAATCAATAGAGGTACTGCAGGTAACTTTACCTTTTCTTTATGAATTTCAATTTTTTTTTTTACTCAAGTGTTTAAAAGAATATTCACTGATGATATTTTTGAAGCATCCATGGAACTTGAGATTTCCCTCAGAGGGACATTTATAGCAATCTTCATGACAGCATATTAGAACAAATTTAATTTTATGTTAAACAGCAGTTTCTCTTTTAACACATGCAAATAAGGGCTTTATTCCCTGCAACTGCTTTTCCACATGATTTTAAATGTTTCCTGTTATGAAAATCTATTTAAGCCCATTAAATTTTTGCTTTGAATTGTGGGTTATTTAAACTGAAATTCTCAGACTGCTTGAATATTTAAGAATTTTATCACAATTTATCACTTCCCTGTGAAAACAGCTAAGTTGTCACGTTCCATTTAGGAATTGTTCTTTAGCTCTTTCGAGTCATTCCAGACATGGCTCTTAAGATAAAACACTAATTACTGTGCCATCACTTGCCTTCACTTCATCCTGTTTTATTACTGACATCAATATTTGCTCGTTATGTTCAGAGTACTAACAAAATTTATCAGGTTATTAAAAATCATGTAGCAAAGACTGTTGGAATATTTTTTAAGCAATTCAAACCTGACAACTAAATTCTCTATAAAAACAAGTGTCTGAGTCAAAGGACAAAAGGATCATATTAGAAAAACACTAGACCGTAAGGTGGCTTGGAGTGTCAAATATCACCCAAAGGAATTTTCCCAGATTCCAGAGACCTGCTTAGGTCAGTGTTTATGCCACTATAGTATCCCAAATTGGAAGACAACCACTTGAAGAACAAAGTTTTTAAAAAGTAACTCCTGTTAAGAAGTTAGTTTAACAAAATTCAACATGCAGGTTTAAAACAGAATCTACTCATTATTTTGTAATTTAAGAATAAAATAAGAAATGAAGGATTTCAAGAGGCCTTCTGGATGCTGATGGGTTTCTTTCAAAAGATTCTATATGAGTAGCTGTGCTTAGTTACTTCTTCTCCCTCCCACTTTTGAAAAAATGGTATAAATCCCTAGTGTCAAGGAGAATGAAGGAAGAGGAAGGCAGAAGTGGGCATCAATGCTCCCTGCTCACTTATGGGGAATGTAAAGAGAATGGGGGTATCTGCAGGGATAGGAGAGAAGGACGAAGGAGCCTCTGAGTTGGAGATTTAAAGAGTACTTGGTGATATTGGGACAGAAAACTGGCTAATTAAAGACTGTACAGAGCTCTTTTGCAGATGAACAAGGTTTTCTGAACAACTGAACGTGTCATATTAGAAGCAAGCAACTAAGATGAGGGAAAGGGTTAAGTTTTGCAGTCTTGTAAGTTTATAAAATTTCTGAATACAGAATGAGATTAAAAGATTTACTCAGAATGAAGAAAAAAAATCACAACAAATTCCATCAGATATACTTCAGGACACAATTATTAAAAATCCACATGTAAGTGGTAAATATGAGAAGTTTTTCTGTTGATGTTGGCAGAAGATAATGCCTGCTGTAACCATGTCATCTCAACATCATATTGGCTATCCTAGCAAGAGAAGTAGATGAGAATTAAAATTTGTAAAAGAAAGGAAAAAAAAAAAACTATCAGTGACATGTACACACACACACATACAGAAAACCCAAAAGTTACCACAGATAAACTATCAACATTAATGATTGAATTTTAACCAAGTTCACTGGATAGAAGGATTATGCATAAAATTAAGTGAAGTATTCATATGTCAGTTCTAATTAGGAAACATTAATAAATCCTACTATTTAGTGTAGCATAAATTATCACACTGAAATCCTAGGAATATACCTTACAACAGGTGATCAAGATCTTTATCTTCTAATTACAAATGATTCTTTAGAGAATTCTTTACAGAAATTACCTATATCATGTTCACTGGTTGAAAGTTTTAATAATGTAAGGATGTCTGCTTTAATAATGAAAGAATATCAGTTCTCCAGCGATAGATCCAGTGTAACTCAAACATCTCAGTATTGTTTGAAATGTGGAAATTAGCAAGATTATTTTGAGCTTTTTACATGGAAAAGGGAAAAGAATAACCAAAGCAATCTTGAGGAAAAATGAAACTGAAGAAGCCCAATACTGGATATTAAGATCCACAGAACTAAAATAATCAAAGCATGTAATATGGGCACTCAATCCCCATCCCTGATTCTACCCACTGTCCCACTGTGTCACCCTCTCTCTTCTGAGGAAACCCTTTATCTATGTACAACACTTCTCATAGACTTGGAAACCTTTTCACCTTAGTCAGGTTCTAATACCTCACATCAGATTTTGCCATGCTTTCCCCAAAAGGGCTGTCTCCCTCACCCTATCCTAGTAACTGTGCCAGAATATCCCGTGCATGATGTCCTCCTTACAGCTGTGATGGTCAATGTTATATGTCAATCTGGCTTGGCTACAGTACCCAGATATTTGGTCAAACATTATTTTAGGTGTTTCTATAAAGGGATTTTTAATATGTGATAAACATTAAATCCATAGACATTGAGTAAAGCATGATACCTTCCATGGTGTGGGTAGACCTCAACCAACAGCTGAAGACATTAAGAAAAAAATTCTGACCTCTTGCAAAGAGGAACAGGAATTTCTGTTGTAGACTGCTTCTGGACTCAAATTGCAGTATTGTTGCTTCCTTGGGTGTCCAAGCTACTTGCTTAATATAGATACACAGATATATGGTAGACAAATGACCAGTAGAAAGATGATCAATAGAATATTTGGATATCTCGTATTCTTTTTTTCTCTGGAGAACCTGACAAACACAACTCCCACAGGATTCTGACTTCCATGCTACACAGTCCCTCTTATGGACATTCTCTTAAAATTGTCTGAGCTCTTATATCCTACTCAGAACTCTATTCTTGCCCTGAAACAACTACCCTTCCTAAAACACCTTACCCCTAATCGTCATACTTGCTTTCTTGGGTCGAAGTACTCAGAACAAGACAAAGAAAGGAGAAGAAAAAAGGAGGATACAGGGAAAAACATAATTGAATATTTGATAAATTTTGCAAAGTGAATATTATATCACAAATTGCTAATGATGTTTTCCCACTAAACTCACTTATATGTAGGTTAGACTACAAATGCTAATACAAAACATTGTGGCCTTGAAACTTAGGTTGATTTCATATTACCTTCTGTTCTAGGAGGAATAGAAACTAAGCTTTTACTTAAAAAAATTTTTAAGTTTGTTCAGTCACACAAAAATATCAGTGAGATGATAAAGGGAACAAATAAAATCAAAACCTTCTTGCCTGATGACTTGGGTCTGTGCAGTGAGCTACTTTAGGGAAGATGCATTTCAGAATGACAGGTATGCTCAGAGTTGGTTAGTAAATATTCACTTAGTGGAGAATATTTAGTTACTGGAAAACATGTGACTAGACTGACGCAAGGAAAGGAAGAAAGTGCTCTGAAATGATTCAAATTAGTCTTGAGAACTCATAAAGTCCATAGGAAATTTTAGAAGTGAATTTAAAATTTGAGACCCATGTGTGTACACTTTATTACTCAAGAGGCAAATGAATCCAACAAACAATTTGGATTATTTTTGTGTTTTCTAATGCACTTACTTTCCTCCTAACTTTTCTCAATGTTATCACCTGTTTTGTGTAGCGAATAGATTGGTAGATATAAATATCAGTAGAGAGAAAGAAAAATGATAGAAATGCCCCAATAATCCTCAGAGCACTAGAATAAACACATGCTATTGAAATAAAGCCAGGTAGATGACAAAAGCAAAATATGAAGCCTTTTTGCAATTTTCACCAAGAAAAATTTAAGTAACACTAAAAAATAAAATAAAACAAATGGACAATCATTAATGTTATTCTAGCCTTTAGATATCTGTAATTCCTGTTTAAGTCAATTTCTAAACACAAAAAACTTCCCAGATGGCATGAGCGGGATTTTTTCCCTTAGTAAAGTTGTACTGTGTTAAGTTTCACTGAATGCATAATATGGGGAAATTACATATAGATTACTGTGAAATGAGTGGAAAATCTAATTTTTCATATTATATGCTTCTTAAGACCTGGGGAAAAAATCATTTGCAGACCCAGATACCTCATAACTAATTTCTTTTTTTAATATAATAGTTCTTTTTTTAATATAATAACACTATTTTGTGCCTTTTTCCATGTCAGTTGTAATCCCTGTGGACTTTCCATCACCAAATCACCTGTGCACCATCACCATACCCAGTGCATTTCCCCCTCCTCTGTTTTTGATCCCATTCCTCATTCCACTCCTGTAAAATGTCTCTGGTGTATAGTTGTTCATAGTATTTTTATTTTTGCCCCTGGTCCTTTATGGTCCTGCTACCTCATAACTAATTTCTAACAAATTTGTCACATCGGAAATATTCTTTCAGTCTTTCAAAAATTTGAGATATATTTTCAAGATTATATCTTTTCTTCACCTCCATTCTAAAAGGCATTACTTGCTACTTTCTTTGTCAGTTGTTTCGAGGCCTCATTTTAATGGAAAGATGCTACTGAGTATGGGTGATACTGCCCTAAAGAGAGTAGCAATTAAAACTCTATGCACAGGTGCTAGGGATAAATCTTTAGGTAAAAAATCCAGAGTTAATAAAGCCAAGCCTGTTTTTTCTTTTAATCTCATCTTAAAAAGATATCAAGTGAGAACTTAAAATAAAAAAATTTCTTGCTTAATGATTTCCTAGGAGTTGCTTATTAAATATTCACTGGAGAATATCTAATTACTGGTGACTAGAATTAGGCAAGGGAAAGGAAGAAATTATTCTCAAATAATTTGAATTAGTTTTAAAAATTCACAAAGCTAATTGAAACATATTTTCCCTTATGTCGAAGCATCACAAAAATGGACTTTCGCTTCTGTTTAGACAAGAAAGAAGTCACCCCGACACCCTTACAATAAGAAAAGTTGTATGAAAAGCAAATTACAATTTTTCTTGAACTCACCAGTGATTTGAAGTTATTTTGTCACCAGTGATTTGAAGTTATTTTGTCAAACAGTTAACAGGAAATCTGGAGGGAGGAGGGTTCCTGCAGGGAGAAAAGGGATTGAAGCAGCTATTACTTGGGGCGGATGCTACTTCATGCAGTAAAAATCATTAAACTCACTCACTCAGAAACTTTGAACAAGTTGCTCAGCCAAAGAGTGGGTTGACATAAGAAAGTGAGCCCCTGAGACCTTGCAGAGAAGTGTGTTTACACCTCTTGTAATCAATTCCTCCACCAGGCATCCTCTTGGAATAGTAGAGATATCTTGATAAAGCACAGTTGATGCTGGGGAGAAAAACAGCAGTTACTTTTCAAATTCTGCTCAGACCAGTCTCCCATTAAGGAACAAAATCCTTTCCGGTGGTGAATGGCAAAAGACAAACAACAGAAAACAGAAAACAAAACATGTAGGTAATAAGTGAAACCTCTGGTGGCTGTGGAGAAAAGTTCCACTCCTGGGGGGGAGGTCACCTCCAATATCCAGGGTCACAGAGCCTGCCTGAGGTATCCCTGCCCTCACCCCCAGGGTAACAAGCATCTAATGAAAATTATGAGTGGACTATAGTTAGGAGACCCATAGAGACAGACTGCTCTGTAACAAGGCAGAGAGAAAAATTACTCACATAGAAAGTAACCCCAAATGATAGGTCTCCCTAGAGGAATTTGAAGGCCATGGTAGAGGAGGGCAACCACAGCAAAGAAAAACTTCGAACCTAGTCCTGCTCCTGTGCCAACCTCACTGTATAAAACTAGTAGAAGGAAAATACTTCACGTATAAAAAATACTTACTAAGGTATCAATTGTCATATATTGTGTTTATGGTCTTCATCACAAACTGATGAGACAGAAAAGGCATTAAGAAAGAGTCTCATTAAGACAAAGCCATCATCAAACCAAACTCAGACATGAAACATGTAACGAATTATTGAACAAAGGCTTTTTAAATAAATATGACTCATGGGAACTTCTTTTAGAAAAAGATTTATTTATACAAACAGAACTGGGGTACAGGCCAGAGGTACAGGGGCGGTGAGAGGATTCACCAGTGACATAGTGGGGAGCAGAGTAGGTAGATCCAGGAAGTACACTGCTGAGGAGCGCAGTAGGCAAGATGGGATCGGTCTGCTGCACCATGTGGGTCACCTCTGGGGCAGATATCAAACTTGCATTGTAATGGCTGTGGCTAGCTTGCAGAGTTGTGTCCTAACCCGTTAAGTCACCAGGGAGAGCCCAAGGGAACTTTTTTTTTGCAGAGGGTTTAAATGTATGGAATCTATAGATAAGATAGGTCCTAAACATAATGGTGGACAAAGAGCGATTTTGGTGTTTATAAATTTATTTTTTGTGATCTTTTCTCTTGCTTTCTGAATATCCTCATGTCCTCCACTTCTGCGCCTTGGAAGTATTACTTTTTTTTTTTAAGATAACACTGTTTTAGGAGTACACACCTCCTCAAATGTTATGATACCAATCCACTGCCACCATCAATGTTCTAATAATCCTCTATCAAAATCCACTGAACCCCTTCGACCTATTGCCCCTATCTCCTTCTTCCCCTTCTACTAACAACCATTCTGTTGTCAAGGTCTCAGGGTTTGTTTTTCTTTTTATTTCACATGAATGAGATAACTGGTTTTTGTCTTTGTCTTTCTGATTTCACTTAGCATATTTCCCTCCAGTTCTATTCAATCTTGTTATTGCAAGTGGGAAGATTTCTTATTATTAATTTTTTTTTATAGCTGAGTAGTAGTCCATTGTAGACACATAATACTGTCTTCTTTAGCTACTCATTCATTGATGACCACTTAGGTTGTTTCCATAGCTTGGCTATTGTGAATTGTACTGCAATGAATCTAGCTGTGTACATATCTTTTCAAATTACTGTTTTCTGACTGGTATCTTACGCTATAAAGTGATTGGCAATATATAATTTCTCCAGATTAAACAGTCAAAAGTTTTAATTCAACTGGATAAACCTGCAATGATGGAAATTGGGACAACATCAAGTTTAACAATGGAGACAGGTTGGGAGTGAGAGGTGTTTATGGGTTAGTGGTTAGGAATGTGTTATTTAAGTTACACTGCTTGTGTAACCACCTTCTCATCAGGTGGGTTTTTGGCTTCCAGATGGTAAAGTCTATTCAAGAATAGTAGCAGTCACAAAAGAGGAAA